AACTTTCGCAAATTTGCAGTTAATAAATGCTGACGTTATTTTTGAAACACAAATTTTCAGCCAGTCAGAAAGTTGCTGATCAGCTTCCGCTCATTCAAAACTCGCGTAAGCGCATATGTCACAAAACCGGAATCCAACGACCATGGCATAGAATTTTGACAACTTTTGATCCCGCTATGTTCTGTTACAATACCCGGGTGTAATTCCTAACCTCCGGGCGAAATTAGTATCCTCGCACGGTGCTTACACTCTAAATTAATCTGTCGAATTAATTCATTTTCGAGTACCCCAAAACTGTTAAAAATTTGAAACCCCTGCAACTTTACTACCTTACTAGCCATGCAGCTCTGTTTCTTGTTATTATTGCACAGACCACGTGATCAAGTATCAAATGAATAATAAATAATTTCAATGCTTTTAGCCTGAGAGGGGGGGAGGAGGAATCTCTTTTGTTGAACATCCGTGATGATATTCAACGATCCTGACGTTTATGAGAATTAATTGTTTGCGCAGCTTTTGCGTCGTTACTAATAACTCACTTTGTTGAAGGCTTCATTTACCCCGTCGTTACTCATTGGTGTTGGCACGAGGAAGGCTGGCTCAAGAAAGGCGACGATGAAACTCTTGGAGAAGGTGTCTCTTTTCAGGTAGGCGAAACTTCGCAGCTATCAGGAAGAAAAATATGTGGGCTCATAGCACAAAACGGGGAACCCTAGGTTTTTACCAAATACCTAAGGTGGTACACCATTTGCATAATTATTTATGAAATTGAAAATATCGAAATATCTTAACATAATAATATCTGTTTTTTAGAGTCTAGTTCACAGCACAGATCTGCTTCAGTGTGCAAAATGAGAGCTTAGTTTGGAGCTTAGTTTTATGGTAGAAAAGAGCAAGAGTTTTGCCGCAATATATTCAAATCAACTTCGGTAAAAAATTCTTTCTTTTCGGACGTGTATCTAAACTCCGAAACGACTGCTGAAGCGAACCTAGCATGTGAATGTCTGCGCTGTGAACGCGAATTACAACAATCATACATTTCTACTTCAATATATTTCAATACTTCTAATTTTATAAATATGCAAATTACCTTAAGTGGTACACCACAATCGTAAAATCTTAGCCAAAGTCAGTCAAAATTTTTTTAAAAAGTTCAGTAATTGCTAATCACCAATTCTTGTTTTGCCCTGAGAAGCTGCTTAAAGCAAAAATAATGAATTCAAAATTGAAATATCACTGGCTTCCTGTGATCTATCTATATCTATACATGAACATTTGCAGGATTTTGCAGGCAGTGGTGTAATTCATGTCACTGCAGGCACCATGGCTTTGGTAGGCTCAGCCGTAATTGGACCAAGATGTGGAAGATTTGAACGTGGTAAACCAGTTCCTATAGGCGGACACACTGTTCCGGTAAGAAATTTTTTTAAGCATCGTATTCGTAAATGTATATTTAGCCATCTTGAATCATGTGCATTATGGCTTAAACAAATTTAAAAGTAGTTAATGTGGATAGAGAAACTATGTGATAATTTTACGTACATAAACACTTTCCTGGGGACAATGAAGACGTTTAATCAATTTTATGCACATGTACACCTCGCGTTTAGCTTGCTGCGTTTGGAGGATACGTTTGTTTGCTTGGTTTTCTCGCTGTTATTTGCGGAAACCAAGGGCACGTGACATCCCGTGGCGACACTGAAGCAATAGCTCTAATTGCAATCAACACGATACTGTCATCTTCCGGTGGGGCATTGACGGCGTTTTTCATCCGTCGAACTTGGGGAGCATGTTATGGTCATCACTCCAGTGTGCTTACTATGATCAATGGAGCATTGACTGGAGCGGTAAGATGATATTAGCGAATTATACGTTTTGTTCGGTTCTATTTTTCATGCGTATGGAAACCGCAGACGGCAACAATAAGGTTTTTGCACAGCGAAGAAATCATTGCCCAGCTAAACGAACGGTATTCCAGCAAATACAAGTTCTAGATTTCAAGTGTACCTGTATAGTTTCAAGGGTTTTTTTCACTCCAAACAAATAGTTCCATAACTTAGCTGCGTTCCCACACTAAACTAATCAGACCAAATCAAACCAAACTAATGAGAAAAATAAATATGCCGTGGCATGTTACGATACGTTTAAAGTGAAAAATGCGCTTTTTCATTTACTTTAATCCAGTAGTTGATTATTTTGTTATATAACCGGTAGATTTTCCAATGAATGAAAAACAGTACCACTTAAGGCTAATTTCCACTCCGGAAAACGAACAGCGGATCGGATCGGAGCGGATTTTTTTCCGAGCCTAGTGCGATCCATGAAGTGATTTCGGATCGGATAAAAAAAAGTTAAAACTATTTGAACTTTTTTTTATCCGGTCTCGGACGCATTCGGATCAATATGAGCCAAAAATTTCAACAGACGGCGCACGCGCTGATCATCTTTCGTTCCGATCCGATCCGCTGCTCATTTTCCGGAGTGGAAATCAGCCTTTAGAGCATGCACGTGATAGGAAAACGGTATAAAATTTTAGAGAATAAAAATTTTCAATGCTATAAAAACTTCTTCCCAATGTTGGCCTAATGTTGATTCCAACTCATTCTGATAGAGCAAATTATTTCCATGCAGTTATCGCTAAATTTACAATTCAATTCATTTAGTGCTCATTTAGTAATACATTTCATTTTAATTTCTAATTGTATCGTATTTAAATGCATATTTAAAACCAGCTACTCGTGATTGCCAATGGCCAGAAAACATTTTTCGTCTCAGTTATGATAGGCTCGACCGCGGTGGACCCTATCTTTGATCAATTGATTCGTGCGTGTTTCTAGGTGTCTATTAGTGCCGGTGGCAACGAGATGCATCCTTATGCAGCTTTTATTGTCGGTTTCATTGCTGGGGCCACCTATATTGCCTGGGATATCGTACTTCTCCATTTAAAAATCGATGATCCAGTGACGGCAACCTCAGGTAATTCAAGTATGGTTATTCAATCATATCATGAGGCAGTGACAATCTTATTTGAAATGATCACATGATGAAGCATAATTATTCAGAGTCGTTTTTGTGCTGGACATACCAGATTGCCAATGGGGCGATCCGAAATACTTGAAAATGACCAAATCGCTACAACTAGATCTAAATAAAAGGTAGTTTCTATGGAAAGGTATTCATCATCCGAATTGTTTCTCGTTACGTTTTCCCAGAATTATTTTCATCAAAATGCAAACCCGCTGGCGATTCAAAACAAGAGGTTTATTAAATTCTTTCTTACGACACAATTTTGACAAGTTTACGTAGGACAGGTGGAGGATAATTAGAAGCATTTGTGGCACATGTACTAAAAGATAATTAAGGTGTAATTTAATTGCTGCAAACACTCCGAGATCTGATAATCGATTAACATTCACATGGGTAATCAATTTTCGGTCTATTTTTGAGGATCTTATCCGCACTCGGATGAGCATTGTTAAATGCATAAATAAATCTCATTTCGACTTTTTATTTCCATAACCTATATGTGCTGATGTTGCTTCATGCACCAGCACCTTTGAATTTTAAGCAACTTCGAATTAAAGTCTTTAAATTTTTTCAGTTCATTTAGGTGGCGGAATGTGGGGGCTTCTTGCCGCGCCTCTGTTGGACAAAAATGATGGTATATTGTATGTTGGTGATAAGCTCAGTTTTAAATTACTCGGTTGGAATCTCCTTGGTGGTGTTGCGATAATTGTCTGGTCTGCTTTGATCTCGGCAATACTTTTTCTAAGTCTCAGATTCTTCAAGAAACTGAAAGTAACAGCTGAAGCTGAAGCGAAAGGTGATTTTCAAATCTGAAACAATTCATTGTAATATCACTTACGCCTCGCAACAGTTTACATACGCTGGCTCATTTTTACAAAAGACCATGCACCAATTATCAATACCCACTTTGCAAATTTTCATGAGTTTTGCAAACGTTGCAAATAAAATATGATGGTCAGTCTCGTTCCTACGGTTCTTCCTATTGAAAATCACAGGGCTAGGATATTCCTGATTGGGAGATTTATGTTCTATCTTTCACAATTACGTATTCTGTTAAAAAATTGCTGCAATATTAAGTTTCATTTTTGTACACTATTTCGTCTTCCAGGTCTTGATATAAGCAAGCATGGAGAACCAGCCTATCCAATTGGAGCATATGCTGAAAGTTCATCATATCAATATCCGAAAACAGTGCTGGTAAATGAGAGGACCAACCCTGCATTTAGCAACATGGATGCTTCCATGTCTAGTCAACCAAGTGAATCAATGAATACTCGAGGCAGTACGTCAGCTATGTCTTGATATTCGAATTGTGTCGTACAATATTTGTATGAGTGGAATCGAACTACCGAACCTGGATAAGCAGAACATTGTCAGCATTTTCTAGTTTTACGTTTCAGTTAACTTTGTGAGTAGTAGTATTTTATTCAATAATAATTGCTAATGGTATAGTAAAAAGATGTTTTCTTTTATGTATAAAACCAGTGACTCGTCACTGGCAATGAGTAGTCCCTGCAGTTATAGCAGTAAATATAGTGTTTATGACACGTTTGGAGAGAATGGATAAAAAGGCTTAAAAAGAACGTAATTTGAGGGTTTAGTTAGGGCATTAGATTTCGAGCGTAGAAAAGTGAATCTTGTATAAATAAACTGAAGTTAAAATATAAATCTAAGAATATTATTAGCACTTAAGTCGAAGGAATAAATCTTTTTGAACAAAATCGCAACAAGCAACGCCGCATCTAGATGGGCCCCAAATCTGCCCTCAAGCCTCCGAATTAAGAATTCTATCACTTACTATTCTTGCTGAGCTGATTCTTCCTTATCATGGAAATTCCTTAAGTTAAATAGGGTACGGGTGGGTATATCCTGGATCGCCCAGAAGGCAACTTGCGTTATAAAAAAATAGAAGTTGTTTACTACACTTCGACTTCACCCGGCCTCTTCCAATGTCAGATTAAATTGGAAGACGTTCATTTTACTTTTATTCCACATTGCTCGGCTTGTTTAAGGAACAAAGTTTTGGCGTAATTATACAGTTCAATATCTGCATTGTTAACCATTCTTAGTCTGGCCATGACACTATCACTAATTGGTTTCCTCTCGACACCGACTGTTACGAATTTCTTGCCTATTATCTTGTGATATTTTGAGATAAAGTTTGGCAAACGTTTGTGCAAAACAGCCGTGAACTCATTTAAATATTCTACTAAACCAATACTGCAGTAATAACGAAACATGTTGGCCTTCGCTTGCGACAGAGCTTGGCTGGTTCCGTTCTGACAAAACGTATCTGGTCCGCAAAAGAATCTGGTCATAGTGTTCCATTTACAACCTTCGTACTGATTTTCAATGCATTGTTCCAGGGTCACATTCCAATGACCCAAAGCTTTCAACTTACGAAGCTTTTCCCCCCAGCGATTTGGGCTTCTTACATAATAATAATGAGATATGAAACGTTCTACGGGTTCACGAAGTAAATAATATAGGTATGTTTCATTTTAAGGCCCGAGTTAATCCTGAAGTAAAAATGAGAGATTGCCAAGTGACGTCTGCGTTCTCGTAGATCCCGATACGCTTTGCTTTGAATGCGCTGCAGTATTGGATGAGATTTTCTTTCGTTAGACCATTCTTCCGTGGCTTCTGAGACAGAAAATATAAAAGTATTGATTGTGTCTACGGCTTTCTGAGAATAAAGGAAACTTCGTTTACTCCGTTTTGCAATAATAATCTATCTTGTAAGGCTGCCCCGAAGCTTTTTATTGGGATTGTGGATCTTAATTACAATTGAGAATTATTTATTGACAATTATTTAATAACAAAGGACGACAGAAAAATTCATGATCAGGCTGCGTGCATGGGAATGGAATAACATCTTATCCCACGTACGACTGTAAAAAAGGAGTGATTTATAAAACACCTATTTCTTTGCTAAAATTTTATATCCCCCCCCAATTATCGCTCTAGTTAAGTCCCTGTTCGTAACATCCATTTCCGTCTTGATATTATCATTTCTCTACTTTTACGAGCGCAATTTCGCAGTAGGTAATAAAATTATAGGCAATAGCCATTGTGCTTCATATACTTTTTATATATATATCTTCGTAAGAGAGGTAACTTCAAGTACGATTAAGAGAGGTAAGTTTATAGGTAAGTTTCTACTTATACTCAGTATTAAAAGATTCCCACCTTTCAATATTCCATAATTAAGGCTTTTACTACAATTTTCAAGAAACGAGGTCATAGTTGTACTTGCTGTTTTAAATATCCTGTTGTAAAGTACCACCTGGGGGTATAATGGTTCACAGCTGTGGTCAGAGACATTCATCAAATATTTACTAGCAATTGTTTTGTTCCAAAACTGAGTAGAACTCCGATTTCTCTTCGGTAACCTATAATAAAAAAAATTTGAATTCGAACTTAAATTAATTTTCTTTCTTTCTATAGAGTTTCTTCATTCTGCTTTTAAAACTAAAAGTACTGTTATTGTGTCATAATCAAGGTCGTTGGTGTAAAGTATACCCATGGGCGTATCGGCAAATATTTTCCAAAAAGGATGTCGGCAATTTGCCCGAGTGGCAGGAAAACTACGAAAAATGCCTCACTTGATACGAAACGTCCAACTAAAAACTGAAATATAAACTAAAACTGAGAATGTTATGCAGTAGGCAACGCCGGTACAAAATACACTAATAGCTAAATAAATAAATCATTTCCTTTTTACTCTGCCTATAAGTTTGCTATGAAGTTTACAAATTGAGAAGCGAATAGCTTGGCCTTGTTTCCTGAGGCTCTACCGTCCAGCACGCCCACGAGTATTCCTTTCGAATATGCAAATTTTGTTCGCTCAGTTGTTTGTCTCATGCAGCTAAGCACTTTGAGTACAAATATTGGACAAACCGTAGACCGTAGTCCGTAACCGTTGCTCCTTGTGTCATCTTAAACTCCCTATGTTGAGAGAAAAGACACGTCGCTTTACGCTGATTAATTGAAGCGTTTGGCTGTGTATCCGTGAAAGTTAGATCGATTTCAACTATACCAACTAGCTACCAACCAAACTATTAATATATAATTATGTAAACTGCTTTACAGTATACTTATCTACTTATTGATTTTCTATTTACCGGTAATTGTGTCTTTTGATCTTAAAAATATTTTGAATTTCGAGGACATCGATATTCTTAGTTTTTCCCAGTGACTTTGAAGTCTCGAAATTTTGGAACGAGATTTGCTTATTGATTTCGATATCCTTCAGTTCATCTGTTGTGGCTGATGTGACCGATTTCGTTTCTCGGAACCGTTGGCTTTCGGATAAAAGTGATTCCTCAATATAATCCCAAGGAAAATGGACTAAAAACGAGATAATAGAAACTTTAGCAACCGCACTTTGGCATTTTTGGATAAGTTGTAATCCTGATAAGTTGATATAAATATATTTAACTTTCCGTTCGTTAACACGGTGGAAACACACACATGGCGTAACCAGCCTGTCAATTAAATTTATTCCGCTATGTAAATTTCTAGTTATTATAATTATTCATATCTTTATTGTTTTATTGTTTAATTTATTGTTTTCACTGGCAATAAACATTAAATTATTAGCGTGTAACGCGAAAAGTTGTGAGGCTGGCTACGCAACTGAGCACACAGTGCATCAGAAGTTTTTTGTAACTTTTTAGACGAGGTAATGTGCGCTTTTTTAAAATTCTTGACAAATCCAGTAGACAAAAAAATTCATCAGTTGTGAAATGTTTTGAGCAAACAAATGGCTTTGTGGAGAGGGCTCAGTCATTGGATGTGCCAACGTTGCAAATTCTGCCTAGTCTTCACTGTTTAAATGGCTTGGACTGCAAATCAAAGTTTGGTATTGAATGTAAAGTTATTTTATTAAGTTATTTGATATCGATATTGAGTTATTCTCAGGTGTGTTGGAACAACCGTATGCGACACATCGAACATGGATTTCGTAGCAATTTTATTTCACAGGCTGTGCATACAGGGGCGTAATTATACTAGAACGATAAATGCGAGGTGTTATATAATATTTAGTTTTTTCCTACGGTTTTCTATATAGCTATTAACTATTGAACTTACAAAATCCGTCGGACTGAACTGAATTATATAACTATAATAAACACCCCAAACAATTACTGTGCGCATACTATATACAAGATTTTCGATAGATATTTAGTTTTAATTTATTCTGCCCCCGAAAGACATCAACTGATGAACATCCTAATTTGTATACTCGGACTCTTTTCTTTCGGCATATTTCAAAACTTCGTTTTTTGGTATGTTCGATTTGAAGTATCTCTAAAAGAATCCACCCCAACAGTTGAAGAAACAGTTGTCGGAAATTTTAGCAATAATTTTATATAAACCTTTGACAGATTACTTCGCCATGCAAACGCAAAAGTTGGACAAACGCAGCCGGCAAAATAATTTATTGGATGTGATATAAACTGACATTGCTATCGTAAGTCATTTAAATTTGAAACGAACGCTTCGTTTGTGGTCATGTCTCTAATTTTTTAAATCATATAACTTATAGCATGCGCAAATTTACCCAAACTGAACACTTTTTCCTCTAGAATTATTATAAATAAACATGTAGATAACGCGTGTGTTCTGATTGGTCAAAGCCCGTATGTCAGTGCGTGTTCTGATTGCATTCGCGCGCTTTTGTAAATTCCCGCGTGTTTGGCATGTATCAGCCCATCCAAATACAGAAATATTAGGTAATTGTTTACTAATCAACAGTCTTGACGGAATGATCGATTCTTCATCTTCGCAATTTTTTTGGAAATAATTGTCTTTGAAGCTATACGATAATTGATTGGACCCCCGTTACTTATACGTTAAGAACATTGTTCCCTATTGGCCTACCTCCTTAGCAGGCCTTTTTCGGGCAAATATGCCACGGCGGTGATATTTTGCGGGTAGCCTATTGGCTGAGACTGCCAAATTCGTTTGCTACCGTAAAATCCTAGGCTCGCATTGGTTGAACGTTTAATGTGATATATTCATAAACGAAAATAAGTTTGGAGTTCTTTTTTGCATAAGTTTTTTTAACGCAAGTTGAAGCTTAATATATCCTAATCTTAAAAAGCCTTTACACTGATCGACTAATTATGTACCTTATCATTTGACATTTTGTAGACCCTAAAATTCTGCCTAAAATTTTCGGCAAACTGTGAAACAGCATTTTGTGTTATAATTGTTTTCTGACTATTTCATATAATGTTGGATGCATACAAAAATTATTAGTTTTAGGTTCAAGTATACGGGGTGTGTTGTGCGCAGTCCATGCATGCTATAAACCTAAGGAAAAATACTATAAATATAAAGAAAATAAATTTGTGCTCGACTATTATCTTTTTTAACGAGCATCCAAAGCACGAACATCGTCTCATTTGCAATCATTATACATCTAGCCAATCACAATGAAGAACTTGTATGTTTGGACATTTACATATTAACTAAATGTAACGTCGCATACGTCCTTGGTGCATGTCAACTAATAAACGCGCGACTCTTAGAATACAAACTGATTTAGAGCATGATTCAAACCGAAACCCTTGCTCTATAATTACCCAAATTGCGTTACTAGTGTATAATCAGAACAGTGTTGAATACTTATCTTACAGTAGAACATTATTCCCAGCATTGATAACATGAATATGCCACCCAAATAGCACTTTCTTGGCCTGAACATCGTGGGTGGTTATTCTGAAAAACAAAAAAACGCCAACTTAAGCTTGGCGTTAACCTCGGGCCGTTGTAGCGCTGCTGGGCCAATAGAAAACAAATCGAGAACGATATAATTATTGATGCCTAAGATCTAAAATCCTCTAAATGACTTTCGGTCGCAAAGTCCACTTCGACAATTGACGTTATATGTTATAAATTTTCGACCGAGCCACTTCCATACGCCCGGTTCGAAACGCCCGTAGGAACATTGGCGGCCAAAAAATGTTGTGAACTTTTATTAAGAATTGTTATTATACAAACTAAATTTTGTCAATTTATTAAAAAATGATAAATTGGAGAGCAAGAATAATTGAACTCGGCGAATTTTGGATAAGATGTGAGCAATGGATGATATGAGAAATCCCAATTGCAAACAGAGGAACTCGTTGGAAAAAACCTCGATGGCGACACCATCCAAGATGGCACCCATGACGTCAACGCGCAGCACAACTAATTTGCAATGGAAAGAGACCGCGCTTGTTTGAATTTATAATCAGTTGGAGCAACGTGCGGCACTCGCTTTAATACGATTTAGCTTACGACGACAATATCATTATAACTTCACTTTACCTGTCACGAAGAAGATGGATTAGCTATAAGCGTAAATTCTAATAATGTTATAGATGTGTAAGAATAGCCATATGGCCCTGTCTCGTAGCCTAAACGAAGAAGCGAAAGGAAGGTACAGTAAAAATTATTTGTCGATAAGCAGATGTAATATTTCATGCATTCCTTAATAAACCTTCTGATTTGCTCGTTTCTAACTCGAGCCCAATCACCTGGGGTTGGTTACATGAAAGCTGGATAACGCTCTATCTATCAGATAGTGGATTTTCAATCGCTCTAAAATAAGTTTGATTAAACCTAATCTTGGCTTTAATCCAAACTCTAACCCTAACCCTAAACTTACACAGCTTAAAATAAAGAAATGCTGATGTTCAGTAGGTGTAAATAATTTCGAGAGGATATAAATCAGTGCAGCCAATAAATATGATACTAGATAATTTTATGACTGCATGCATGGAGGCTTCTATAAGTATAACAATATAAGCAATGAGCCATCTTCGTTCCGGTAAGTGAACAACACTTCGTAATGTCTGAGTCTGACAATTTGCAATAATATGCATTCCTTGGAGATACTTAGTTGCTCACTTTAAAAGGTCATGAACGCAAGAAGGACACTAAAATTCAGCATATCTTTCAACAAACGAATTATTGATTGAAAATTTATAAATTATTATCAATCTAGTATCATTTTGTGAAGTATACTGTATACAACATTATCATGAAGATACATATAATTTGCATTTCAAATCGGTATGTAAGTAAATAAGCAAATTGTTATGTTGAAAAATGCCTAGTAATCTCCACATGCATGTAGTTATAGTTACTTCAGGGACAGTTGTACAAAAGCTAGATATAGCACTGATTTTTCAATCGTATTAATACGGCTATGAAGTAAACTCTTATTAAAGAGGATTCTTGACTTAGGAACACTAATATATGGGTAAACTGAGATATACTAAACCTCATTTGAGTAAAAGTATAATATTCTTTAAGCCTGTTGGATATATTACTAAGTAAACGGGTATAATTCCTCACGAAGCGACACTGCGGCAGCATTCTGCTTAGTTATTTATTCAAACCGTATCCAACCGAGATATTTGCATAATCAACAAAGATCAACAATATAATTTTTTATTGCACTTACTTTTATATATTATACTAATTTATAAAATTGACAGCTATACATGCATAGGTGTTGGCCGAAATTGTATAGTAATAATAATTGCTTTCAATCTTCAATCAATCTCTGTTGAACAAATCGCCAGAGTTCACTTTACGGTTACTCATAATATTTTCAATTCATACTGTAGCTATATATTATTTTATTGTCATGGGTACTGAGAAAGCAAAATTTGCTTCTTACAGGGGTGTTAAACATTTGCACCAGTTCAATGAAAGTTGTCCCTATAAAAAATAAGACTCTAAAACCTAAGGCTAAGCATTCAATATTTGATTTGTCATTGTTATTTTGGAACTTAGAAAAACCGATGACTCCCAAGACACAATCTACTTGCATCAAAGGCAATTTTCTTTTACGTAATTTCAGTTTTTGAATATAGGGCAAATGATAAAATGATAATATTAATTCTGTAGCGTATGATATGCATAACAGAAATCTACTTTAATATCAAATGTAACACCAAGTGTAAAACCTTGACGGCAGCCTAATTTATTCCACTTGTTTTCAAGTTTTTATTCAGTAATGAAACATCCAAACATCCTAAAATTAAGCTACCGACTTTTTGTAACTCTTGTGCGTTTCAGAATTATAAAAAAATAATATATGACTTATTGCAAATTTACAAAAAGATATAAGTAATAAATCAGTGTGTACTGAGTGTACTGCATGCATTGTTCTTTCGCAAGTCTGTTTTGCAAAACATTACCATAAAATACCTGTTATTATGATTCAGCGACATAAATATTACACTAAACACAGGCTAAAACTCATTCGCTATATAGCCTAGTAAAGTCGTCGTATAATCAGGAGTAGTGCATGATGGCAATTGATTACTGATTTGACAAATCTAGTATATTGATCTGATATTCTGTGTACATCAATTTGGCAATCGAACCAAAGTTAAAAGTTTTGAAAACGTCCTCAGATTTGAAATTAAAATAAGGAACGAGAATTCGTTGAAATAACCTTACCTTCAGATCATCAGTGACTAGGGCACATAATTTCATTGAAAAGCTCAATTTAAACTTTAAAATTGACAAAAAAGTACGCTTTCATTTCAGAAATTTCACATGTAGCTAATTGATAAATATGTTGACCGAAAATAGTATTGTTGCTCGATTGAATGTGGCGCTATTGTCGTATGCGTGTTATCAATAACAGGTGCTATATAGCATGTAAAGACCAATTTAACTGCTCAATTTTTCATACACGATTCTTAGATGGCATTTGTCGGTGGTAAGTGGCACTCAAACTCTTAAAGATATTTTTTCTATGCCAGAAAAATATCGACTTCATTAATGAGTAGTTCATCTGGACGTTACGCATCTGTTTTGTATAAATACAGGGTGGGGACGCGAACTACGAAAAATTCATCTTGAACCGGCTCTTGTGCACTATTTTTACTGCATAAATAATTTCCCAATTCCCGCATGCACTCTCTAAACGCGCGATTCTGTTTCGTTTGACATATTCGTCTACATACGTAGTTCGATCGTGTAGATGGTTTGATGTCTGTCATTCGTGAAGACCGATAATCCGTCCGTAATATGAATCTGGTCATTGATCATCGAGATACTAACAAATGATCGTATAGAACAATCAACATCGTCGATGGATCACGAGAAATGAAAATTAGGCTTTAACCTGGCCTACGGCATACAAGGGTTCTATCATCAATGAAATTAGAAAGATTTTAGGGAAGGCACTTGTTTCAATTCGTCAGAAATTGCACGCAATTCAACAACACGATGGTGTAATAGGCCCTATTAAAACGTTCCGTTCAATTTTAATGCGTCAATGACACAGGTTATCATAAAAAAGTTAATAAAAGTGAGTTCATGAAAGTTAATAAAAGTGAACAAATAATGGTTCAGCAACACGCCAAACTGATAAAACGAGGATATGATGCGGTTTGGGGCACATTTCAAGCGGTTAACGCCTGTTTACGAGCAATCCATTAGGCCCAATAAGACGTTTAAAATTAATTGCCTCTATTCAGTAACAAATATCATACAATCAATAAAATTTTGAAGTTTTCTACTTATCTGTAGGGGCTATAAAAACATGTCGAGTATATAGGAATTAGTTGTCTTTGTTCAAGGGCCGCTCAGCAGAAACCTCATGATGAGTTTGAAATCTAGTATGTCGTACGTTTTATTATTAGCTCGCCTGCACTTTAGTGCAAGAGAGCTATTGCTATAGTCTTGGCGTCCGCGTCCGCGTCCGCGTCCGCGTCCCCGTCCCCGTCCCCGTCCCCGTCCCCGTCCCCGTCCCCGTCCCCGTCCCCGTCCCCGTCCCCGTCCCCGTCCCCGTCCGTGTCCCCGTCCGCGTCCACACTACATGATAAGTAGAATGTTAAGATGCCACTTTTATTTTCCTATTATTTTCAACTTATCTACTTAAGGAGTCTATTTGTTGCGAAAGAACCATTTACCAGGGGGGGAGTGAAAATTATACAACAAAATATAATGATAAGGTCAATGTTGAAATGCTATATTTTTTCTATACTTTGGCTTTACATCAGAGGAATCATTATCAATATAAGTCATCAATATGCATTGTGACTATTTAGTGCCATTTGGTACACATTTATACAATAATAAAGGAGTTTTGCTCAAAATGATCAAATGATAAGGTGAATGTTAAGCTAATTAGCATAATGATAAGGTCAATGTTAAGATGTTATATTTTTTAAATATTATGGCTTTGCATCAGAAGATTCATCATAAATATATAGCTCATCGATATGTCTTGTGACTATATGGTGACATTTAGTACACATTTACACAAAAATAATGGGAATTTTGTTCAAAATTATCAAATGATAAGGTGAATGTTAAGCTAATTAGCATAATGATAAGGTCAATGTTAAGATGCTATATTTTTTAAATATTATGGCTTTACATCAGAGGAATCATCATAAATATAAGTCATCGATATGCATTGTGACTATTCAGTGCCATTTGGTACACATTTATGTAATAATAAAGAGAGCTTTGCTCAAAATTATCAAATGATAAGGCAAATGTTAAGCTTATTAGCATCATGATAAGGTCAATGTTAGAGTTATCCAGAGTTATCACGCTCATTACGATTTTCAGGGCTATTGTGTAGCCCTGTTTTTTTTTAGTTCAAAGTTGTAGCTGAATCATATTTAACGAAAGTATTTGTACAACCCTAAGCCAAATGAGAAACTTTCAAATATTTTCACCTGTATGCTACCTTTTTTTTGTATTGTACATGTACAATTATAAATTATGAGATTGTGTTGTGACATGCCGTATCAAAATTCAATCGCTTAATATAGAAATCATTCAGGGAGTGAATATATATAAAACATAGTCCAACGTTAAAGTTTAAAGAATATTGTCTGTATTTATAAGTAGAAAGCCGATAGGCTCGGAATGCAAAGGCAAATGGCAACGCATGTGACATCATATATTTGCATATTATTTATGTAGATACACATGCAAATATATTATTAAAGCCAGTTAAATTGTAGACAGGACCCTTTGAACTACCTATAAGATTTATGTACATACTTTTTCGTTGTTTGATGCATAATCCTTTTTTGTGTAGATATAAAATCCAATCTTGTTTATTTCATAAAGCTAGGCGCACACACGAAGATTTTAGTCTGCCGATTCTTGTCTAGATTGTCTAGATGGATGTTTTCATCAAAATGTGGCGACTGGCGATCTATACACGCGCGAGGCGCGAGCGCCGCGAGAAGGAAAACATGTCTGGGCAAGAGCTGCCGTAAAATCGTTGTGTGTGCGCCCGGCTTAAAGCAGGGACTTTTGCCTGGTCCGTTAACTTACCTGTTGATATCACGTGCGCGGATTGCGAGAAACGGAAGAAATATTGGTCACAAATAAAACTAATGTAATTCCGAGGCCAGTTTTGGCCAGTAATTCTGAGGTCACAACTAATATCTGAAGTTTGTGCTTAATATTACCTTCCAACGCGGACAAACACTGCAGGCGAGCGTTAGGTGATTTCAGCACCTCTCTGGTATTATCTTGTAGTTATAATTGCGTCAGGCAGACCTTCGTATATACTACGTAGGTGCCGGAATTTTACTTTATGTGCCGACAATGTAAAAAACGGTTGAATAAAAGCATATAGTTAATATTATATATACCTATTATTATAACCATGATAAAAGGTGTAAAGCTAATAATGGCCCGATTTATGTCGACATATTTATCCGTGTGACAGATTATTCGCCTGGGTATAAACAAACGACAAACTATCTAAGAGACGATAGTTCGAATAAGTCAGACGAAACAGAATCGCGCGTTTAGAGAGTGCACGGGAATTGGGAAATTGTTCATGAGGTAAAAAGCGTGCACATGCAACGGCGGTTTTATGAATTTATCGTAGTTCTCTGTTCTCCACACACCCTGTATTTGTATATTATTCAAATTCGTCTAAATAGACGAACTATGCGGATTATTCGCCTTGGCAGTTGATCCGTCTGTTTGCCCGTGTTTACAAAAAAAAATAGCAGACGAACTATATTTGGCTTCCCCAAGTTCGTCCACACGGATGATCCGTCTCTAGTATGAATCGGGCCAAACAATGCAAGGATAATGGATAATTGGGGGGGGGGGGGAAGGTCGGATTCAGCGGAACAACTTTAACGCGTTGTATTTGGTAACTTTACACCACGTATTTCACGGAATAGAAACATGACCATCTCGATCGAGTGTCTTATGAATTATTATGTCTCATAGTAAAATAATATATCAATCCTTTGGGAAAGAATTCTTTTAGTTATGTAAATTACAACTTTATCGTCGCTGTGTACAGCGTGATTGTACGTCTGCCTGATATGTTGTCTGCCTGATATAGCCGCATATACATGACATTCAGACTCTGATATGGCCGTATGCTGACGTTCTTAGCCGTGTCGTTTTCAATAATCATGGATGTTTGTCGATTTGTATAGGTTTTACTACGCTCAGACGATGAAATATTGTTTCTTTTACATCATCGGTATATCGGTGATCATGTCGGTGCTATTCTTGATGCTATGTGTATATTCAAGTAAGTAAAAAATTGCGCTACTATATTCCATACTGTAGGTTGCATGTATATTTATAACGTATAAACACATACATTATGGATGATACCACAATAATTACCAGCTGCGTGGTCTATTCATAATAACCAAGGTCTGGTTTTCCCAATACTGACGAAGCGAAGTTGTCAAGTTGATAAATAATGTGTTTAATTTTTGCGATGAAAAGAGTCTTAAGAAATATTTAGTGTGAATTATTTGGACCCGCTGATTCCGTCGCCGCGTAGATGCCGATCGATTAGGTCCGCTCAGCTATAGGAGCCCCCTTGGCGTTATAATTTACGCATTTAGACAACGTTCACACAGGGCCAGACGAATTTGGGCATACTCCGCGTACTCCAGTTTATCAGATTTCCTCGTGTGCATGCCAGTGAACGCTCTATGAATTAAATGGAAAGCTCTGTCTAGTACATTGCGTAATCTAAAAGTGAAGCGAAACATGGCGGATCATGAAGGCTGCTTGGGTACCGAACCAGACCTCCACGCACGAGCGGTTAAAATTTAATATAGCGACAACGTGTAGGAGTGGAATGCGGACAGTTTTGCAAATACAACACAAATATACAGCATAAGTTACCTCTCTAGAAAGAATAAATTGCCGGTTAGGTTGTAACAAATTGTTTGTATTCATTTTAAAAACTTTGTATTTTAAAAACTTTGTAACGTCCGAAATGTTAGCTTTTTATTTTTCGTCATAGTTTTATAATTCGTGTTTTAAATTTCCAGTTCGGTACCCAAGCAGCCTCCATCATCCGCCATGTTTGGCTTCACACTTTGAACTGGAGCGAGCCTTCCATATAATATATAGAACTCTCTGGTGCATGCTAGAACAAATAAAACCAGTCCATATTCACCGTGTGAACACCTGAATCGAACGAATTCGAGCACAGTTCTCAATTCGTCTGTCATAATAATTTCAGTGATTTTAGATCAGTGATTGTAGGATTAAGATGAAAAAATGACAAAATAAACACATTCAACGCGTCCTTTATTACTTCGATAAGTAGCCATTTGAATACATAGATATTGTCCAATATCGCAAGTGAAAACGTATGACATATATATGACTTATATTACAACTTAGCTGTTTATATAAAACTTTGGGGAAGTCAATCGCTTGCATCATCCATAATTTAAATTTTATTCTACTCTGACTTTTGCATGTTCGAAGATTGTGAATTTGGAGCGCAAAAGCGTAATTTATGTAATTCATATTATTTTTACCTTTAGGTCAATGTTCATGGAAACAAATTAAAGAACTATCCGTACAGCGTGGTTATTTTATTACTTCAAAGAACTATACGTAAGTCAGGTTAATTTTAAGAGATGTTCCGTATTAACAATCTGAATTCTCTATTATCTGAATTCTAACCCGAATCATAAACACGCAGAGCCTAAACCAAACGCTAACCTCATAACCATATTTCAACGCTAATTATTAACGTAATTTCTTGAAATTCATGTGGAAACAGCTAATTTTCTTACATTAAATATAATTACATAGATATTTTTATTATATGGATGGTGGCATTTAATATACTGAGAACTAAAACACTCCTACAACTCATACGCCACTACATCCGGGGTACAGCTCGCCTATTTTCCGTAAGTCACGTTTAGGGGTGACATAACCGTATTTATATATGAGAGGACAGGTTAGACGTCAGAAGGAATTAATTTAGCGAACAATACAGGGAAGTAGCCAAGGGAGGAGCCGTTGGAGAACCCCCCCACCCACTTCGAAAAATTTTTTCCTTTGATATATTATAACAACTTCAATTATTACTTCACTGAATTATATTATTAGCACAATTATTTTTACGCATGCAGTCTTTCAAGAATGCTAGTTAACTAGATCACTTGCGTTGATAACACGCCTATATAGCTACATGTGGATAGGCAAACAATGGTGTTTTGTGTTTCACTCTCAGCGTTTAACCTTCAAAAAGTAAATAGAATTCAGCATATATAACTGATTTCTGAAAATATATATAACCATGCATTTTTAATCTAATATATATCTTTTAGCCTGCCCTCCCTTACGGCCTTATATGGTCTGACTGCGTCACTGCAACAATATCACTTAAAACATGTATAGTATCTAATTATTTAAATGTTTGCTTACATGAAATTTTCTGTTGTCTTGGGGCTTAAACTGTCCAATTCCCGAAATCAACCTGAAAACCAATTCCTTTAACTCAATTGAAATAATGTATTAGAATAGAATTGAGCAATCGTCTCGTTTTCTTTAGATCCGTCGCACGATCACGGGAATTCGGAGATTTAACAACGCAAAGCTGTGAACCATTACATCCTCGAGTGGTATTTTATAACAGGATATTCAAATCTGCCAGTTCAACAATGTCCAGTTTCTTCAAAAAATGCAGTAAACGACTTGGCTATATATTTACCAAAGGTACTTTATAGCTGCAGTTATAATATAGGCAAATGCTAATCTCAGCCTACGACGTTTTCATATGCACGCGCGAGTACAAACAAAAAGTATTTCAATTTTTTACAATATTTTACGATATTTTACAAATATATCGCTAGATTAAATAGGCTAATTGCAATAGTGGACAGTAAAATCCACGCCACTGAATATCTGCCGCGCGCGGAAAGGTCTATTATGGCTAAAGGTCTATTATCCCTTCAGATCATTTTTCGTATTTTTGGGTTAACAATAATTATGGTATATCAATTAGTTACTCTCAAAAGAGGGCACATCTAATGGGTGATTCTACAATAAACATACTTGCAGCCGGGGAGGTGAGTCCGTGATTAACGCACCGAGGGCGGCTGAAGGTTTCCCGAACTTGGAAGGTTCATGCCTTTTCGGGAAAATGTGTTCTGGAAATTACGCATTGAGTTCGGCAGGTGGGTTCAAGTTTGAACACGCCTGCTCATAGCCAATAGAAACACAGCTTTTACAGTGGGTATGAGGTAAAATAGAAGTGATATTTGCTGTGAAAAGTGGGGATTGTATCCGTGATGATTGGTTGAATGCAAATCAGTTTATGATTGACCGGCGAGAACAAAACGACAGAATTTTTTGCAAATTTTTGCTTTTGCAACGCACTGTGATTGTGCAACAAGGCAATTTTTCTCCTTAGAACAAAATTGTAAAATTAGAAAAATTCGGGAACTGAACTTTCTTTTCACGGTGTGCGGCGAAAAGTAAAAAGCGCCCAAAGTACGCGTCAAACAAGAACAGAGAAGGTGTCGTCGTGCTACAAGAGAAGATATAGGAAGAAAAAAAAACTTTTCATTGCTATATACAAAAGAAAGTAAGTAAAAGTACATAACTTTGTAGTACAACGTCCTGATTTTAGTGCAGCACATGTCAAAACATCTCAAAGGATTTATTTAATGATTACATTACTTTAACGATTGTGAATTGAATAAATGAATCAATTAAATTATTTCCATAAAAAAACGTTAAAATAAGTAATTATTAAAAAACTAACTATTAAAACCAATTATTAATCGTCAAAAATTTCTAACAACATATGAACGTTTTAGGAAAATAAGTTGAATATAATATTCATACCATGTCATAATTCTTATTACTGTATGTGCTTATGCTACAAGGGTTACCAACAGTTTTTTTTTTCTGCTGCAACATAGCTATCAGAACGATAATTAGTTTCTAGCTCCTGCTTCTTTTCTGATCCCAATCTCTTTCTTTTTCAAATTTTGTCCTTTTTGCTTCAATTCCTATTGTTTTTCTGTTTCTTTCCCTCTATGAGCGAACTCTTTCCTTTTTAACTCAATTTCTTCTTTCCTTATTGATAGATCTTGATCATTTTTATCCCAAAGATATTCAATTGTGTCACCTGAAGCTCTTCTTTTCTTTCTTTTCAAATGGACACTTTCTTGGTCAGATTCCCTTTCCCTGGTCTGTGAAAGTCTCTCCATTTTTCTCACGCTTTCAGCAGTTTCTCTTTCTATCTCAGTATTCATTTCCTTATTATCTTCCCATTTAGCAAGCTCTTCTTCTGCTTCTGTCATTCCTTCTATGATATCCTCCATTTCATCAACCAACTCATGTATGCTCAGGACTTATTCCACTTGCCCTTTCCTCTGCTGCTATTTTTCTTTTGTGATCTCTAATACGTTTTGTGAAATGCTTGCGCGCTGCTCTTTGATCAACTGTAAACCGCAGCTTTGTGATTTGGTTGTATGAATTTGCAATCTTCTTCCAACATTGGGCACGTATGTCTTACAACTTGCACTACAAGAGAAACCTTCCTGTGTGTTTCCGGAATATAAATTATTTCTTAGCTGAAATTGGAATTGACCTTGTGCACGTAGCTAGTGCATTCTTTTGAACCTCAGTAATTTTTATAGGCAAGTAATGCATAATTTTTGTGTCTGTTTCTTTTGATTTGTAGATTTCACTGAAGAATGGGAGAATGAAAATATCTCACACCCAATACTAACACGTATTCAAGCACAAATTGCTCGGAGCAAAAAGCTAAATAAAAAACTTATGGCAGTTGCTCATCTGTATTTCAGAGAAGATATCGATTCAGCTTACATTAATTTGTTACGAGAACCTGTCGCTCGTTTTATATCGCATTATTATTACTGCAGAAGTCCAAACCGATATGCTCACAAGTTAAAAAGGTTAAAAGAATTGGGCCATTTTAATGTCACCATTGAAAAATGTCTAGAAAAACAATACGAAGGATGCGTATGGAATCATATGACAAGATTCTTTTGCGGACCACAAGCATTTTGCAAAACTGGAAGTGACGAAGCTTTAGCGGCAGCTAAACATAATATGCTTCATTACTATGCAAGTGTGGGGATTATGGAAAACATTAATGAGTTCGTTATGGTTTTGCTTAAACGACTGCCCGATTTTGTACTTCCGCCCCCTAGGGATGGAATGCGGAAAAAGAAAGTAACTAAGGGAGTAATAAAAAATGGAATAAGTGAATCCACAAGGAGCATGATTATAAATGCCAACAGGGCTGATATTGAGTTGTACGAATTTGCGAAAGATTTACTTTTTAAACAAGCGTCGAATTGTGGTATCAAAATTGTTAGATGATGTGTTTTTTTTTACTTGTGAATAAATAAATATTTTTTCGCCTTATTTAGAAAATTCAAATGAAAAGGCTTGATCAAGTAAATTGAAGCTTAAGGGAGGCCGCAATTTAATTTTGCAGCGTCCTTCGCATGTGTATTTTGTTTCTAAAAATATTTATGTTATTCAGCCCGAAATGTGCCCACTTTTATGACCGAAGACATGTTTTTTTCCATCCGGACCAAAGTTACCGTTCAATAACGTGTCTACATTTTAACTTTGAGTTTTTTCACTTTATTGAAAACAACAAATTGAACAAAATACGCCAAAAAAGTACAAATTCTAACGATTATACCACACAGTTGCTTACGTCATCTTAGAAATTTAATAAATTATCTTAAGGTGGTCCACTACAGAAAAATGTTTTTTTTCAAAAGTATAATCTGTTCATGCCATATTACAAGCCAAGTTGCTCTGAGTGGAAAATGACTTGTAGGAATCTTAAATCACTATAGTTACTCTGACCAAATCCACGCAATGGTGGAAAATAGACCATTTTTGTGAACACGAAAAAAAACTAGGTTTTAACTGATGAATGACGGAATTAGTTTTATTTAGTTCTAAATATTTTTGCCTCGGATCGGAGCTGAATTTTTGCCTCGGATTCGTGAAATTGTTGAGGGAATCAAGGGTTTCGAAAGCCCCTTTATTTACAAAACATCAGAATATTTACAATTACAAAATAATTGTGACAATTAAGGCCGTCAAATGAACAGGAACATACTCTATCAGTATGAACCGTGTACAATTTTGTGCCGACAATATTTTTTTCTAAATCGCTTTTATCGCTTTTTGTTCGCCACGGTTTCCTTAAAAAAAGTTCGGTAAACGATTGAACAAAGTTTAAATTCTAATCTTTATCATCATTATCATTGTCGCAATAATCACCACTGTCGTTATTTTCCTCTTTACTTTCAGTTTCGTGGTCGTTTAAACGCCTTTCAATAAGAAACTTTCTCTTATCAGTTGCAGCTTATACTGCTTTCTTCTGGGTCAAAATCATCATTTCTAAGAAGCACATATTTTGTCTGCATTATTTTCTTTTGTATTGGATCTTTCTTTAATTTTCTCATGCACAAAATGCGCTCTAAATAGATATTTTCTCATTCCTTCTGGAGTCTAAGCATAACATTCAAATAAGCTTTCACTTTAGCAATAAGCTTTCACTTTGCTAATCGTAACCTGTGTTTATAAAACTTTCTTTCATTTTCTCGAAAACTGTGTCACTTCTTTGTTTTGCTTCTTCTATTAGCGGTATCCAGGGATCTATTTCTTCTTCAGATTCTAAGTCAGTGCTGTCGAACCTCCAGACTGCTGTGTGCATGGAAGAGGTCGAGACATCGTCTTGGAAATCTCTTTCTTGACTGTCCGAGTCTGTTTTAACATATGTTTCTTTTTTGTTTTCGTAGTGCACAATATTCCCGTTCGTGTCTTTGCTGATTGTAACTGCGGCTAAAGTATACCTTCCGTAAAATTGTCAGCTCATTCTCTTTGAACCAGCAGAGTTTCAATAGCTTGTTATCAAGCAGCAATTCACTTTTATGAGCAGATGAGCATCTTCTAATGAGCTTGAGAAAAATTCATACCAAAATGACCCATTGAAATAAGGTGTTGTTGTTTCTTTTACCATGACACTTACTATTAAGTACACGCTTAAAACAGCAAGAAAACAGTTCACAAGTCGCGCGTAAATAAGCCTTCTGTGTAGTTACGCAAGAGACCTCAGACTGCGAAATACGAATGGGTTTGGGTTGATTAGGGTTAGAGTTACGACTTGCAGATTGTTGTGCATGGTTGTGACGTATGCGCTTTCTGTGCACTTACGCGTGTGACGTCAGGTCGCGTAGATACGCAACTTTGAAATGTAACAAAGTGCGCTATGTCGAGCGGAGGGGTAATCTATTCATCTTTTATGGAACATTCCATCTTCGACCTCATGAAAACTTTCTTACCATTGCATTCATAAACATTCATCCCCGAGCTGGTGCGAAGCACTGTACTAATTCCGCCAGGAGATTTCAATTACGCCCGGGAATGGAAATGCGAAATCAAAGTTTTCCGCTATTATGTCTTGCATTATGTCATGGACTTTGGGCGTTTTTGTAATTTATGCGCATGCGTGAGTTTAAGATGAGTTAAAACTGGTAACAAGTAAGCGTTTGGAAGCGTGCGATTGGTTAAATTGATATTTTTGATCGCGTCAGCATAATTGATATTTTGAATTATAAAACTTTTTTTAAAATATTTTTCATTTGGATGGTTTCGAAAAGTTGTTGTCCCTAGATGCCTCAGGAGTAGAATTGCATTGCAAGTTGGAAGGAAAGTTGCGTAGTTTAACATCGCCTAAATGCGAAATATGTAAAATTTTAAGTATTTGAATTTTCTTCTGCCTAGATTTCACTGAAGAATGGGAGAATGAAAATATCTCACACCCAATACTAACACGTATTCAAGCACAAATTGCCCGGAGCAAGAAGCTGAATAGAAAACTTATGGCAGTTGCTCATCTGTATTTCAGAGAAGATATCAATTCAGCTTACATTAATTTGTTACGAGAACCTGTCGCCCGTTTTATATCGCATTATTATTACTGCAGAAGTCCAAACCGATATGCTCACAAGTTAAAAAGGTTAAAGGAATTAGGCCATTTTAATGTCACCATTGAAGAGTGTCTAGAAAAACAATACGAAGGGTGCGTATGGAATCATATGACAAGATTCTTCTGCGGACCCCAAGCATTTTGCAAAACCGGAAGTGACGAAGCTTTAGCGGCAGCTAAACACAATATGCTTCATTACTATGCAAGTGTGGGGATTATGGAATACATTAATGAGTTCGTTATGGTTTTGCATAAACGATTGCCCGATTTTGTACTTCCGCCTCCCAAGACAGGAATGGGCAAGAAATTTGTAACAAAGGGAGTTACAAAGAAGCCGCTTAATCAGTCCACTAGAAAAAGGATTATGGACGTTAACAAGGCCGATATTGAGTTGTATGAATTTGCGAAAACCTTGTTTTTTAAACAAGCCTTGAATTGTGGTATTGAGATTAAAAACTAGAGTAATTTTACATTCGTAAAAAAATTAGGCTATATTCCAATTCATAGTTTCTTGCGACTGCAAAGTAAATTTACTGCAAAATGACCACCACGAGAGAGAGAGAGAGAGAGAGAGAGAGAGAGAGAGAGAGAGAGAGAGAGAGAGAGAGAGAGAGAGGAGAAGAGAGAGAAGAGAGAGAGAGAGGGAGAGAGAGAGAGAGAGAGAGAGAAGAGAGAGAGAGAAAAGAGAGAGAGAGAAAAGAGAGAGGAGAGAGAGAGAGAGAGAGAGAGAGAGAGAGAGAGAGAGAGAGAGAGAGAGAGAGAGGGCCGGTGGGCTATTTCTGCCATTGTCATTCCCCTATGAGGGCATTCTACTATATTATTTACAAGCAATTTCCTTTAGTAATAATTTATGGTAGAAAGGATTTTCTAAACCGTTCGATTTTATAATAATAATTATTATACACATTTACATCACAAGTAAAAGATTTGTTTTTACATGAATTTTATTCCTATGCAAGCTGTCAAAAATGCCATCGGTGAGTCTTCAAAATTAAACATATAAAATCTTACAAGTATGAGACAATATCCATCCCTTCTTGCGACTAATTGCATTCACAAACTGTAAAAAAGGTCAATTGTTTTTAAAGGCTGAAAAAATAGTTGAAAAAATATTATGATGATTCCTTTGAAAGCACACTAAATAAGCACAAAAAGTAAAAAAAAATCCCGGAGCCGTAGGGCGAAGGAATGCGCGTGAAGTACTGCATCGCGGTTGTCAGGGGTCATTACTATTGGCCATTGGGACCATGCATATCTGGCGTCAGCACGAGAAAATCCGCCAAGTTTCTGGCTTCAATTTTTTGTCACGAGCAAGTCCTTCAAGAATTATTATATTGCTCAGTGGTCGTCACTCAAATAACCAGGAATATTGAAATGCCAGGATGACAGGTTTGGCAGGCTTGGCATCGTCATTACCTCATTCTGATTGTCTTAGTGTAATATTATGGGTGATTGTAATAGCATGCTGTTTATCCACTTTGTAAACAAAGTAAGAAATAGCAGCTGCTCATAGTTTTCGCAGCTAAAATTTCTGCTGAATTGCTCAATGAGCACTATTTAATTAATAAATTGTCGACATGTACGGAACCTAATTTAATATAATATAAGACTAAATTAAACATTTATATTCACATTAGTCGTGCCTTGTCATGAATTTGGCATATATAGGTTAGCTTAGGATTTCAAATTAAATTTATTATCTGAACACACTGAACGAGTTTTTAAAGCCCCGGTTTACACTCTTGTCCAAATTCCCGTACATACAGGAAAATTTGTATTGGTAGATCTCAAATTTTGCAGGGAGTATCGGGATGAAGTATCTCAGTGATAACAACCACTGCTTTAGCTTCGCTGAATGTTTCTACTAAATACTTGAAAATAGGATTTCCCGTTTGACAAATCCGGTTACTTAGATTTAAACAGCGAGGGCTTACCGCATGCATGTATTTCTAGTATATTTTGCTTTACTGCCGGAAGTGTATAACTAATTTACTTACACATTTTTGCATGCAAGTAATTATACAAAAATGTACAAAATTTAGCAATTTCGCATTTGGCTATATTTTCTGCATTTTACAAAAGTTTTACAACGAAACTTTGCAATTATACTAATTTTAGTAAGTTCTATCTATCTGTGGTAGCACACTTTATTCTTATATTTTTTTATTTTGCGTAATCACGCCCACAGACGTTCTGTCACAAAAGGGGGAAACTCATGGATTAGAATTCAATCGCGTTCGGTAATTTCTGTTATCACAGACGGTAAATCGTTGAGGCTAGGGCAAACAGCTAGGAAAGGAATTAAACTCTTTATAAGAAGGTAAGTAGATGATTTCAACACGTACGGATTGATATTTAGGCTGATGATTGTCTTCATAAATATATTTTTCAAAAAAAACACTTCGTTTACTTCCCGGATGTAGTCCCAAGCGTTTTCCGTTCATTTCCAAACACACATCTGACTCCACGTGTGGAGCCCACGCCAGATACGAAAAATGCTGACGCTGCGTGTTTTTTTACCCTGAGCAGGGAGGTTTTATATAAAATCAAAGATAAGAAAGAGGAACTTTTATACGAAGTCAAAGGACAGTTTACAGGGCAATATATTTGTTATAGTTTTAAAAAATTTTAATCAGAACATTTCATTTTTGAAATAGAAATGAGTTGTGCATGCATGTACCCCAAGTTCAATTAGCCATTTCCCAATCGAGCAGGAGACTGTGTCTAGTCGCGAACCGCAAAGCATCTATGGACTGTTTGGAAGTACAGGAAATATAAGTCTGAAATCATTTGCCCCTCCAAACAGTTGATAGATACTATGCGGTTCGCGACTAGACCAAGCTAGTACACTGCTCGATTGGGAAATGGCTAATTTCAAGTATATAATATAGTCGTATTTTTACAGGATCCATGGCAATGTGGTCCAAGGAATTTGAGTTTTTCAGTGTCCATTTATTTGAAAATATCAGCTACTCATAACAGACATATGCCTACAGAACAGATAGGCATTACAGTATTAATTTAAAATACGAAACAAAAACAAACAGCTTTTACAACAACGAATGTGTACAAAAATCTCAAAATTTACCAAAAATAAACCAACCATTTAATAATACTTGGAAAATCGGGTTAATTCTTGGAACAACAAAGAAATGCAAATGTGTCAAGATACCTGAAATTCTCACAGCATGCATGAGGTAAAAATTGCTACTGTACGAACCAGTTATCCCCATATAAGGAAGTAGGAAGTGTTTTGAACAAAATAAACATTGCGACGTGTCAAGGAATTCTGACACCGTATTATTGACAGACTAAAGATAAACTTGCAGGTGCAAATTCGTCACAATTCTTCAACTTAGGTAAGCTTTATCTAATTAACTTTTAACTGTTCAAGCTGATGATCTGTCACACGCAGTCATCAAAGAGTTTTAGATAGACGTTTACGGGAAACCGCTGGGGTACAATACCCGCGATGCAAAAATTCATTATTTAGCTGGCTACGTGGCTACGTGGATACCTGCATTTAGGATATTTAGAGTTAAGTTAAAGTCTTTCAAGTGGTTGTTTTATAGGGCGTTGAATAATATAAGTTAGCAAATCGCGTTCGGTAATTTCTTTTATCACAGACGCTAGATGGTTGAGGCTAGGGCAAACAGCTAGGAAAGAAATTAAATTCTTCATAACAGGGTAAAAGGATGTCTTCAACGCATCCGTTTTGGTATTTATTTTCCATTTACATACGTGTTTTTTACTGGCGGAAAACTTTAAATGCTTCCATATTGTTAATATTTAGCAAATGGTTCAACAAATGCACACAAAATATACTGAAACTAAGTTCTTTCGATTATTCACCTAACCTTTTTGGAATATATTTAGGATTTAGACTTTTACGTCCGTGTACGTGTGTATGAAAAACACGTGAAAAGCAGCCCTTACAGTCGAGCATAACGTATTGTGTTGTTTTAAACTTGTATTATATAGCGACATATAAACCTCATAATAAGCAGTTTTGTACTAATTTTTTTGTAGTTTTACACTTTCTTATTGCACTTTTTTATTGCTCACAATCTCAAACACATGTTCAAACATATATAATTGTAAGACAGGTTAAGGCAAGAATTATTCTAAGGTGCGGTGATAGATTTTGTGCAGTGATGAAATGCGATAGTTATCATTTCATATCATATATGCATAAATTATTCGCCAATTATGGTGAAATTTGACCGCTAGTCCATAACGTAAATTTTAAGTTGTAGAATCAATACATGAACTCATGTTCATTGAGGGCATTGAAAGCCTCTCAGCATGAAACAACGTTGTATTTATACATTTTTACAATTTCATCTGTGGAGTGATAAACTAGGATTAGCTCGTAACAAGTCATAAACAGGGCTTATTTTGTCTCTTCAAATAAGCAGTTTTTCTCAAGCCACGGAGAGATCTTTCACTTTCGATTTTCAAAATAAATCATCAAAATAAAATTGCAATCAATTTAAAATTGTTGACGAGTTGACGAAATACATATTATTAATTTCTTTCTCCTAGACCTTGTGTTGGAGATATGGCAGGAAATTCTGAACCATCAAAAGTATCAGAAGGTATATACTCGTACACACTTCAAAAATCGTACTAACCAAAGTTCTACCTTTCGTTCTACCCTTACTATACCCGAGTCTATCTCTTAATATTTTCAGTCAGCATTTCTCATAAAATTCAAACGGTTGAGATGTAATTTTTGTGGGCTTGAGAAGTGATACCTTACCTGCTCGAACATTTGATCTAACGAATAATGTGACGCAAATCAGTCCACAAATTTGCTAAATATAAACTTCGTAAAATATCTCATTTACCCAGAAAGTAAAACAATATAGAGTAATAATTGATACTATGGGCACGACTATGATACGTTCTAAATTATGGATACGTTACGTGTCAATCTAGAGCATTTGTCTATTTTTGGATGCTTTATACTGCTCTATAACCATGAGCGTAAATCCGACATTATATAATACCCCATTAAATTTAGAGCGTTTAATTGGTTGATGACGATCACGTGATATTGAATAGAAAGGGCTTTTCAGTGACAATTATACAAAGTGATAATTTCGAAATAGATGATATAAAATCCAATTATACATAAATTATAATGAACTAAGGCTAAAATTTACTACACAGTGTGTCCCAAAAAACCCAAAACTATTGAAATCACCTGAAAATTTGAATGATTTGTTCGCGAATTTTCGCCTACAACAATTTAAAATTTAATAGAGAATGACTTAGTTGAAAATTTAAATATTGTTATCCACATACTTTATGTAAAGCATATTGGTACTAAAAATAATTTAAGTTGGTTTTGAAGCTTGAGATATTAGCGGATGATTTCATTTCAGTGGAAAGGTCGTTCCAAGCCTTAATCCCCCTTTGTCTGATAAACCTTTTCCTAGACAACCCAAAACTTGCGAGTGTGGTTGAAAAATCAAGGTGTGGTTGAATAATTGATGTATTATATATTATAATTAGTGATCTATAATCTACTATTTCTCGAAGATGTCTTAGGATGCTGAGGCCTGCATTTACCTTTCTAGTGATTTGGTTCACTTGGGCATTCCATGAGAATTTTTCGTCAATCTTTACACCAAATGATTTGGTTTCTTTAACTCTATCAATTTTTCTATGTATGCAAGGATGTGCATCAATTTGGTTAATTCTTCTATTGCTACCTACTATCATGTGTTCCGTTTTAGAGTGATTTAGGGCAAGTTGGTTAGCTGACATCCAAGTTGATACTTTTTCCAAGTCCTGATTAAGATTGTCTACAATCTCATTAATGTCTTCACTAGATGTATCGATTTGGGTGTCATATGCATTGGAAAACATACTAGCTCTAGTATATTAGAAAAAAGCTTTTTTTAAGTCTAAGAATACGATACCGCTTAGTTTATCGACGTCGATATTTTGATATCATCTATTGGTGATGTCCAGCAATGCAGTAACCGTATAGAATGGCATGGTCTGAATCCATGCTGAGAATTAGTTAACCAGTTTGAAGATATCAAGTAATCATAGATCTGGTTGGGTATCAGCTTCACCATAATTCGTGCTACGATTGAGATGAAAGATATATAGGCCTATAATTAGAGGATACTTGTGGGTCCCAACAGGATGCTTAGGCATTCAAACTCTAGCTATTACATTGCTATGGACGATTTCAATGGTTTTCGGTTTTTTGGGGACACCCTGTATATTAACTATAACATGCGTTATGATAAAAACCTGTTAAGCAAAATACTCTTTAATTTATATTTAAATTCACAAAATGTCTTACATGCTTTATGTTCTGGGCATAAATCGTTTAATAACTTAGCAGCGAGATAATAACACTTTATCGGGCTTGATGCGCTTTTGAGAAGTGGAATGTTCAAATGAGAAGTTTGCAGATTCTAAAGATCAGCTCCGATTGCTGATAAAAGTTTTATTACCTGCATATATAATGCAGATCCGAAAAAAGGAGCCTATTTCGAGACGATTTGTAGGAATTTTGAATTAATATGCATAGAAACACACCATGGTGAAAAATATCTGATTGTTTAAAACATGATAACTTTAATGATATGAAAATTAATGTTGATGGTATAAATACGGAGTAACTTTTATTTAGCCTCAAATATATATTATTTTACTTTGTGTGTATTATATATATTAATATATATTACTTTACTTTTAACATTGTTGAAATAGTAGAAGTTTATTGATCGACATCTCAGGGATATACAGACTGAAAACGGCATAAAAATTTTGCTTATACGAAACGGTGCAAAAGATAAGATAGTGAATAACTTTCAGTGGGTATTCATTTCTAAAGAATATTTTTACATAAAAATGATCAACTAATGCGATTGCTTAGAGTTTTAGTAATTTATTGTGACTCACCCCTAATGCGCCACTGATGATAAAGGACGTGTGCATGATTTTGTTTTTTACTTTTGTGTAATTCTGTTTTAAAGGAAAAAAAGAAACGAATCCCGCAATTATTCTGCAATGTGGAGCATACTATGTTGTAGTATTTCAAGAACGAGAAGAGAAACTGCTGCACACATTGAAAAATGCTGCAAAGACTGGATATGAAAAAATGATTGTAAGTATAATGAAACATCTACATAATTATGTTAATGTTAATGTGGCGCATGCCGTATTCGTTCAAAGGGACCGCATGTTTAGGTTTCCTGAAGTATACTTCGGGATTTTAATATTTCCTTAGAGTGGAGGAACCGCAGTGGATGCCGTTGAAGAGGCTGTTCGTATTTTGGAGGATGATCAGTATTTTAATGCTGGTCGTGGATCATTAGTTAACGTTGAAGGAGACGTAGAATGTGATGCAATGATTATGGATGGAAACACCATGAACATAGGTACATCTATGCGTAAAATATGCGCTTTCATACTGCAAAGTTAGATATTTAGGTAAAATACCATGCAATATCCGTGTAGCCAAGGGGACTGCAAGAACGATAACTGTGTGGCGGAGGTAGATACTTATATTTTATTGTTCATAATTATGCCGTAAGAAAATTTGATTTCAAAGGAGGTGACAATGCAGTAGACGAATGTATGAATATTGCCCCTCTCCAAATTATTGTTCTTGCGGCGCACTTGCACAAAATAACATCCTTTGAAGAACTTTATTGAACAACCTTATAAGATATGGACATATAGGCGCAGGCCGCAGGGTACCTATTGGAAACATTTGAATTCATGTTTCTTAATAAAGATGCATAATAAATTGCGTAATATTTTCTTGTTAAAAGAAGAATTATTAATATATTCACGTTCGGTATTCTGTTCTGTATTCTGGTCGGTAAAAACAGTAAGGTAAACACCTTGAACTTTTTGGTCTGTAGTCGTTGATACGTGGATTTCAGTCGTAGCTGTCAACTCTGGCGTCATGATACTGTACGGTTTTTAATGTTAATTAAATAGAAAACTTTAAATACGTGTACATATAATTATATTTTTAATGACATGCTCATTGAGAACACCTGTCTGTAGTCTGATCTTTCCCAAGACTAATGATAACAGCGTCTTCATTCCACTTTTAACTAGTTATATCAAAGAGCTTAGCAATTCATTCTTAAAGTATAATTGTTTTAGGTGCAGTCATGGCTGCCAAACATTTCTTCAATCCCGTTAAAATATGCAGAAAAATTATGGAAGAGTCACATCATTGTGCTTTCATTGGAGAAGGGGCACTGAGATTCGCGCAGGATAAAGGCTTTAAGGATCTGATTTGTGATCCTGCAGAAATTATTGTTAATGAAATCAAGGAAAAAATGATGACAATGGACATTTCAGGTTTTGCCAGTCGATATTTTCCGCCCGGAACTTCGTCTCCAGAACAAAGTTTGCCATTTGACACCGTTTCAGCGGTTGCTATGGATAGTGATGGTCATTTTGCTTGCGCCACATCGACAGGTTGTACTTGAAAATCCAGTTAAAATAAAACAAAAATGTTGAAGTTAACATGCTCACTAGATATTTTTCATAACGTCTTTAATGGGAACTTCTTCAGTGCTTATTGTTTTCTGTTCCCTTTCAGTGGCTTAGGAAGCAAAAGGCACGATGATTGGGGGGAGCGGGCACAAATTCATTTAATATGCGTGTTAACTGACTGAAGAGACAATCGATTTGCAGACACAACATGAATATATGAATATGTTCCCCCCCCCCAATTTTCATACACAGTTCTCTTTATAATTAGTCAATCACCTTTATGACTTTGCTTATTTAACACTTCAAGGTGGAGTACTCAGGAAAAGTAAAGGTCGTATCGGGGATGCTCCGCTGGCAGGCTGCGGAGCTTATGCAAATGAATTTGGTGCTGCAGCATCAAGTGGAAATGGAGAATCAATAATGAAGATGAACTTAGCACGAGAAGTTGTTTTTAACATGGAACAAGGCCAAAATGCCTCGGTTAGGATTTACCATTAAAATTTTTAAACATTAACATAATTGTGGTAATATTGTATTTATTAATTTTGTGTGAGGTGCTTTTGTCACTCGACAATGTGTTGTAATATTCGGTACAAAATTTTTCTATGATCAGGCACTTTTTCATATAGAAAGGAATAAGAGTCAGTTCGTTTTAAAGTCCAAATTCGGTGCATGGTATCCCCGCTAGAACATCAAAAATGTATAAAAATGTCCTAAAGTAACTAATTTTCAGCAATTTTATTAGGTGCGGCTTTTATCATTTCAACTTACAATTTCAACTCGCAAAAGGTGCAATCGATGCTCATATCGTGTCCTTAGCTAACGAAATTGCAGTATTTGTCATTGAATATGGCAGATATATAGAGGATATTAAACGGTTGCGAGAAGATATGGATTTTATGTTCGAGTGGCAAGAACAATATCTCACGAGTGAGTGCAGCGAACGAGTGAGATATTGTTCTTGCTACGAGAACATAAAATCCATATCTTCGAGCAAACCGTGTAATGTTCTGTTTATTATATGGACTAAATTACGAGTGAAAAAAATACACAAAAAGGCGACAAGAAAATTAGCCGCGGAAGACCATTATAAAAGCAAATATTTTTTAAACTATAACCTAAACATAAAGTAGACTAATTTTTCTTTATCTAAGGATGTCTTATGTGTTTTTGTTTGTATTTCTAACGTTAATTTCGTTTTATATACGAACCAAAGGCCATTTGTATTTTCACAACATCAAAGAAAATAGCGGGAAAATTTTCGAAACTCGTTATGTCACCCCTAAACGTGACATACGAAAAATACGCACACCTGGTCCCGGATGTAGTGACGTATGAGTTCTACGAGTCTTTTAGTTCTCAGTAAAATACCCCCATCCATTTAATAAAGCCGTATATTTAATGAAAATAACCGGACATCTCTCGAGGGGAGGAATGCTTGATTTCACCATAGGAAGCCCAGACAAATGAGTTGAAGTTAATAGAAATCCGTAAAACACTTGAGATATGTGTTAAAATGAATTGAAGTATATGTAATTTGCTACAAAACTACTGTTAGAACCATGTATGTAGCGTGCTCCAGTGGCGCTGCCATTTGAGTATGCAACTATAGCGACGTAACTTACTATATTATTGGGAAGGAAGGAATTAAACTCTCGCCTCAATTTTCAACATGTTGACAAATTAAAACACAAATTACTATAGTAAAACAGCACGTCGGTTGCTAAATGCCTACCGTAGGTTTAAGTTGAATAATCAAATTACACTTTCATAGTAAAAATAGCGCAGAATCCAAAGGAAAGCGCTGGAAAATCGTACACAAACTTTGTAAATTTGCCGAAATTTTCGTGAATACATGCGGGATGTAAGTACCTACCCAAAATGGCGGTGGCGGAAGAATCTGATTGGTCGAGAAAGGTAAACAAAGTATGATCAACCAATCTGATTGGTCGAGAAAGGTAAACAAAGAATGATCGACCAATCAGATTCTTCTGCCAGCCGCCATTTTTGGTAGGTACTTACATCCCGCATGTATTCACGAAAATTTCGGCAAATTTACGAAGTTTGTGTATACGTTTTTCCAGCGCTTTCCTTTGGATTCAGCACTATTTTTATTATGAAAGTTTAGTTTGATTATTCAACTTAAACCTACGGTAGGCATTTAGCAGCCGACGTGCCGTTTTACTATAGTAATTTGTGTTTTAATTTGTCAACATTTTGAAAAATAAGGCGAGAGTTTCCATCCTTCCCAATAATATAGTAAGTTACGTCACTAGTTGTATAGTCAAATAGCCAACTCGTTTGTCTGGGCTTCCTATGGATTTCACACAAAATTTGGGCGACACGAAGAGAATTATTGTAATTTTACAAATTTAAGAAAAAATGCTCCCTGTTCTAAATAATTGACTCATGCTCTCGGTTTGACACCTTTATTTTTTTTTCTTTTATTCAAGTTATCTGCAAAGAATGCTGTAGAAAGAATGAAAAATCGCCTGTCATCCTGGTGTTCTATGATTGCAATTGACAAAGATGGGAACTTCGGAGTGGAAACAAATGCTGCTGGAATGTTATGGGCAACCTGCAAAGGTTCTGATTTGGAATTTGGCTCTAAGAGAAAGGAATTTGTTAAATTCAAAAAACTTTAATTTAAATTTCAATATCCACTACGCACTGATTTCATATTCTGTACGGTACGAAGTGTTTTGCAAAATACCTAATTTTTATTTGCAGCGTACCTAGAAATTTATGTATAATTAGAATTCTACAGTCAGTCATTGCAAAAATTATCTAAGTAATATACAAAACTGAGAAAAACTTCAAATACATGCAGTACTGTACAGAAATAACCTCAGTAACACTGCGCTTGCGGTTTGGCTGCGGTATACGTTTTCTTTGCCGCGGTTCGACCGCGATCAGACCGAGGTTTGACCCAGGTTAACCACAGTTTTTGTTACGTTATTTCTGGGCAGCACTGTACTTTTTACTGCATCGGTTATCTTGTGTCAATTTTTCTACTTTTCTATTTAAATTTCCACTAATCGAAAATGTCATTTCATTAATAAAACAATTTTATTACTGTGCCATTGTTATCACCTCCTACAAAAATCTGTCTCGAAACCTATAGTACGTTCTTCACACATGTTTACTCTGTGTGAAGATTAAAATGTCACATTTATCCGGCGTGTTCGTCCACTGAAAACGGAATAATTACTGTTTCAATATAGCGGCCTTATTGTATGGTCTTGCATGGTCAGAATTGCTAAGAAGCCGTTTCTATTCTCATCAAACTCCGCATGTTATTTTAATATCACTGAAGGTACTCAAGATTTAAAAGATTCTCACATAATAGCGTCAATCTTGAATTATGAACAAGAAAATGGTATAAGCCTTCGCCCGAGATCAGCCTTAGTGATATTGCTCATGCTATCAGAGGATATTGAGACATGCCCAGGTCCTTGCCTTAAATTTAACTGCTGTTCTAAGACCATTAGAAAGAATCAAATAGCTGGATGTTATTTGATCTATGAAAATAAGCTTCACATAAATGCTTACCGGACATGGTTGATAGACAAGGTAAGGAGAAATTCTACTGCCCAAGCTATGTGCTCATTGAAGACGATCCGTCTAATACCACTGGTATCTTTGAGAATCTCAACGATCTTCTTTGAAATAAAGGTTTAAAGGTATTGCATTAAAATGCGAATGGCTTAGTGAAAAATATCGAACATAGTCGATTAATGCTTCAAGACACAAACAAAAGTATACTGATATACGGTGTTACAGAATCACATCTGCACAAGTCCACAAGAATATACAAGACGCTGAAGTTGCTATTAGCGGTTATCATTTCGTCAGGAAAGATCGTGTTAAAGGCCCTCGTGGTGGAGTTGGTTGCTGTATTAGAGATAATATTAAATGGAAAAGGAAATCAGATTTAGAAGACCAATCGGTTGAGGCGCTTTGGATTGAGATTTTCCTTCAGAGTTCCAAATCCATTTTGTTGTGCATGATTTATCGTCCTCCCAACTCGTCAAAACGTCTAGAGGCAAATTTTGAGAGTAATTTTGAAGAGATGAATAGCTTAGCGGCCGAAGAGACAAAAGAAACTATTATCATTGGGGACCTAAACTGAAACTATCTCAACAATGCAGACCACATATCAATAAACTCTATGGTCTTAAAAAAGCAAATTAAAGATGAAAACAACGTACAGTCTAGTTGGAACTCATTCAAACGAACCTTGACGACTATTATTATAAATCAACATGCCCCTTTGAAAGAGAAGAAAGTAAAAGGCCGTGACTGTGTCACGCTCATGCTCCGTTACGATCAAGGACAACACATATTCCGGATAACAATTATACGGTCGCAAATACATTTTGCCATTTTTCACTGTAATCGGTGATCCTGTGATTGTGAGCCTGATAAATTTATGTTTACGACAGTCAATTTTTCCCAATGCTGAGAAATTGGTAAATGCAGCAGTTGTTCCGAAGTTTAGATACATGTCCAAATATAAATATTTTTTTCTAAAGCATACTTGCATACGATAGGTCTATTATACACCACTTGTCAAAGAAAAAGCAAACTACAAGGTAAACAACGAAATATCTATTCATAAAAGACACAATTTCAAATGGGCAAACAGTCTAAAGGTCGAAAGTCCAGGTGCACCGCGCGTGATTAAAATTATATTTCCCATGAGATAACACGTTATCTCACTCTGGAAAAAGGGGGTCGTGCGGGCGGCATCAAAATTTCGTCACTCTCGCGTCATTCGTTCTCGACCGCGCTAATGAAACGCTACGAACACCAAACTTTGAGAAATAGTATATAATAATTTGAGATAATAAAGCAACCTATTATTTTGACTCTTGTTTAGACTTATAATACAAATGCACCTTATAACTATCTGCAGGTTTGAAGGTAATATTGTCTAAATAATCTTCTCAAGCGCTATCGTTTGGTCGTATTCCGGGGTCTTTATCCCAAATACTTGAAGACATATTTAAGTTTTGCTTCTTCCGACAACAGTAAATTCAAAAGAAACACAGTCTCATCACGATCGTTTCGCTCGGATACCGTGTCTCCATCCCTATTAATCGGCGCACAGCGGGCAAATTATGGTGTAATAGCGTGGAATTATAATTATGTACTCTTGTGAGTTAGTTATATCGCCTATGACTCCGTTAGAACGTTAACTTTTATATTATTACAAAAAGTTGATCAAAATCATATGGCTCCACGTTAATTACTACTCCATAAAATTCCCAAACTAACTGACCCATTGTTTTCAATGTGTTATGGTGTTAAACCTCATTTGATTGATAATTTACAACAATTCTTAAACGTAGCATTTATTTAAAGGAACTCTCGCGCGACATTGTCGCAATGTTGCCATCCTTATGACTGAGGTCCTATATGAATAACGATGCTACGTGCCAACATAAATTACTGAAAAATAATCATATACATATGTCCCTAACAACATTTGAAATTTTTTGTTCTAGATGTCTCTGGCCGTACTAGTAGTGGCAAAAGACCGGGGAAATTTCAAAGAGATATTAAGGCCCTGTCATACGGTGCAATATTTTTTGCAACTTGCAATTCAATTCTTTTTCGAGATGGAAAATTTGAACTACCGAACTTTTGTGTTTTTTACACCAATATTTTGATTTTAACATTTTGAGTCAGACTCCTCACTAATTTACATCTCTTAAAAGTAGAATTACATTGCCTTTAGTGAATATAATAAGCAAATTAATCATTTATATTTTTTTCAACAGTTTGTGTTGTTCTTATTTCAATCCACGGCTGTCACTAAATCTTTAACGCCGTTTTCAAGAACGGGATTCCTTGTCTGGCTTTTCCTCGATGCCATCCCCATTATCATCACCACCAGCATTCCCAATTTCACATTGATCTTTTGTAGTTTCATCTTTATCAACAGGCAATCGCTCAAATTCATTTACCTTTTCTGAAAACTTGATGTACAACAGAAATATGAGGAGCACGAAAGATGTCATTGCGGCATAGAGAAGTAACGTGTATCGCGTTCCAATCGCATGAAAAAGTACGCCAAGCAACGTCGCACCAAAGTCACAGCCAAACATGAAGAACATCTCTAACAATCCTGTAAATGATCAGAGATACCATAAGACTCAAAATAAAGAGTGGAATTAAATCATTATAGGTTATCATAATTATGATTGCAAACTTTTCTCAGTATTTTTGTGTACTTAGAAAAGTACGCCTTTTTAGTTTTTTCAGGCCTGTCTAGTTTGCATCCATATAGCTTTCTGCATGCCATTTAGCTTTTTCTCAAATTATTAAGGAAAAATGTACTCCTGTCAACCAATCATCTGTCATCATTTAATAATCTAATCATGCTAATAATAATAGCTGTAATCATGAAGCCATGAGTGTGTATGCCAAGAAACAGCTGAACTTGCCATAAAAGCAGAGTTTTAGACATTGGGTAGTATTTCTTTGAATAAATAAAATTTTTAAAGATGATGTAAATCCGTTCTGCGCATATATTCTGCGCATAACAATGTTTGTTTGCGTTTGTTATATAATCTTTACATGAAGTATGTGTCGTTTTAACTTTCTTATTAATTTTTCTTCTCGTTCTCGCTCGACCGGCTGTGATGCATATGCTTATTTTATATTATATTTTGAAGAAAATATTATTATATTTTGAAGAAGATATAAAGCGAAGCTTGTAAATAAACCGTTAATAAAACTTTATATATTTGTAAATGTAGGACAAGCGAGAAAGTAGCGTCTGTAGCGACGACAAATAGCCTCGCAATCTCGTATCCTCATTCAACAAATAAACTCTTGAAATACTCATTTCAGCACGATATGCGCAGAACGGACTTTACATCATCTTTAAAGTTACATGCAGCATAACCCTAGAGTATGCACCATGAGGGAAACTCAAATTCGGCTACGAAAATCATAGTACACGCTTATACATGCATTTTTGCGATCTCTCTATAATGGTATACCATGATCATTAAATACCTCAATATTTTTAAACTTAATATTATAAACTTAATAGGCAAAATTTTAAAAAAAAATTAATACTCAATTTTGTCGTTATTAAAACGAGAATCAGCGGCGCCAATATTACGATATTCTTAAACGACATTATCACACTTAATGCTTATCGAATAACATGCATAATATGATCATACATCATTGGTTCGTTGAAACTCACCAAGAATAACACCAGAACTTGCTTTAGATCCAGCTTTGGAGAGATGAATTGTGAACGAACTATACGCCAATCCATACCCAGCGCTGTGAAGCATGTCTATTGCAAGAACATACCAATATATCCGAGAAAGAGACAGAGCTAAGAATGCCACTCCAAAAAGAAGAAACGAAATAACTATTGTACTAAGTTCACCAATTGCTTTAATCACGTAGCATGATATATATATAAAAACCGCTAAAAATGGCCTCCGAACCAAAGCAGCTCCTCCCATAATTAATGGACTGGCCTGCAGTCCATCTAAATACCAAAATTCCCAGAATATTTGAAATGCGACACAAGCACCAAGATAAAATATCATGAAAAACATGAATATATAGTGACTGTTAAAAACAACCAACTTGACTTCTGTCCAGTCAATAGTGCGATCAGATTC